CCCTGTCGCTGTGGCTGCCAGCCTGGTGGGTCATCCACCACCCGAACAGTCCAAAGAAGTACCACAGTTTCGATTTGATTTCTTGAAGCATGGCTTCACGTGGCGGGGCAACGAATATTCGTGTTACTCCTGGGGCAATCTCTGGTGCTATCATCCCCTTTGTGGTGTTATTGAGGAGGAGATCACTAAGCAGTTTTGTGAACATCAGGCTTTTTCCCTCTAAAAGGTTTTGTAGTTCTAAATACATCTCAACCTCATTGTCTTGTTCCTCGCACTCGTTCTTCAGCAGCTCCTCAACCTCCTCAACGAAGGACCTCATCGATTCCTCTGTATCAACGTGGGATTCGGGACAGAATCGTTCCTTCATCTCTGCCGCCATCCGATAAATGGACAGTTTGGCAAACTGTTTGGCAAAAAAGTGTTTGATCTTCGTGCCGACTCCTATCAAGCACAGTTTGGGCATATCTCCGGGCTCTAAAATGGGACTTTCAGAATCTCTAACATCCAGGCTATTAACCTCTTCAATGATGGACCTTACTATGTCTCCTGAAATACTTTTGATCCACTCGGAGGTGTCAGATTTAAGAACCTCAATCTCTGTGTCTTTCATATTATCCAGAAGAGGTTCTTCTATTCCGCAGAACTCTTTTATAATTATTCCCTGGACTGCTTCGGTTTCAATCACAAAACTTCCTTCTGACCCTCTTGAGAGTCCTGATGCTTTGTACAGAACAGATCTTTTGTTTAAAGCTTTGGACTGAACAGATCCAGCACATGAGGTTTGGATTGAGCCTGTGTCTGTGGTCTCAGGCTGCCAGCTCTTGTTGCTGGTAACTTCCTCCTCTAAACCGTCATCGGTCATCTCAATCAAGGCCACCTGGCTTTCTTTTCTTTCTGGCAATCGGGAAATGCCTCTCATCTCATCGTCACCAAATTCACACACTGCAAAACCAGCTCTGCCACAATCATTTTTACGGCATCGTCCGGTAATCCTTGATCCAGCAAATCCCATTGCTCCACACTCACCCGTTTGCAATGAAATATAACAATCACATCAATAGATAGATGGATATTTATTTATTATTTTTAGTATTTTTTTTTTATATTCTATATTGAGGCATTAAAGGCTTCTGGTGCACCCAATTGACTAAATCATTAACTGTTTATTTCGAAGCAATGAGAATTTAAGTAAGCATGGAAATGTAAAGTGCTGAGGCTAAAGTGTTTTGAAAACACACACAAAGTACTGCTAATGACCAACATAACTCATAATATTATATTTAAAGTTAAAGGTGGGGTAGGTAATTTTGGAGAAACCAGCTCGAGTGTGCTAGAATTTGAAAATACACAGCCGGAAAAAATCTGTCACTTCCTTACAGAGCCCCTCCTCCAACACACACGAACGTGCACATGACCAATGAGGGCACGAGATAAGTTTGTGCACAGATGGAAGGCTGACAGGCAGGTAGGCCATCTAGTTATTTTAGCCGGGCCGGCTAAAATGATTGGTTGTGCTTTTTACAGTATTACGGCTTCCACAGATGACATTTTTTAATGGATTTTTTTGTCAAAGCACTTAAGATATTCATTGCTATCGGGATGTTAAGAGCATTCCATGGAATATAACAAAAAGTGTATCTCGAGCCGGTTTCTCAAACGTACCTACCCCACCTTTAAACTGTGCATTAAATGTTCTCTGTTGTCAAAATATCCTCAATCATGCAGATTAAGGTTAAAAAATAGTGTTTACTTGTGGCATTATTGTCTAAAAGACTCCAAATGTATTTATAATATGCTTTAAAGAGAAAATGTTCTTTAAAGTGATCTGTTACCTGCAGACCTCAAGATGGCAGCAGAGCTCTTAAAAAGATTAAAATATGATGAAATATTATCTCTTTCATTGTTTAGACACGATATAAAAACATAAGTTAAACCTTTGGCCAGAGCTTGTTTTAAAACTCAGTTTTAGTTTAAAGAGGGAGATAATGTCTGTTCCTCTTCAAATGTTAATCAGGGTGACAGGGTCCAACCTGTATTGAGGACAGCAAATGATGTAAGAATACAAAAGAATCCAACCAAAACCAATACACAAAACATTTAATATACAGGTTGAATCCTGAAATAGAAAAACTCTTTCAAAACATAACAACTTAACTGTAGATAAACTTAAAAGTCCTCTTTAGACGTGATGTTATTCTTCTCAGGATAACCAAAGACTTTGACTATATTTATAAATGTACATTCATAAAAAGAGGTGAAAAGTCTCTCTTAAGTCTGACCTTAAATGTTCTTTATAGAGATCTCTAATATGCTTGTTTTAAGATTCTTTATTTAACTCCTTTACCTCCTGAGAATGAAAAGAGCTGTGGCTTAGTTGGTCAAAGATGCTGGGTTCTATAACCATGATCAGGCTGTAAATGACTACAGATTTGATATCATAAATATAAAAGATTTCTCAAATTGGGATCAATAAATTATATCTTATCTTATCTAAAGAGGATTTTAACAGAGTGGCTCAGTTAGTCTAAGCTAGATGGCAGCAGAGCTGTTAAATAAGATAAAAACGATGAAACTGATACACAGAACCTCTGTTAAGATCCTTTACTTCTCTCATGTAAAAGCTGCGTTCATTTACATCATGAGAAAACATATTTTTGACTCCTTACTCGAACAGCAACAAAGTCTATATTCTCTCTAATAATTAGCACTGCTGGGATTTGAACAGGAGTGTTTCAACGGCAGGCTATTTGTGTAAAGCTAAATGCACTTTTCAGTTTTAAAGGAGTTCAAGTCTAAAGATTCCCTGAGCCAGACATTCTCTAAGGCCAGTAGTGGAGATCTCTGAAGCAGGAATATTCAATGATAGGTTAACAAAATAATCTCAAGTTGAATTACAAATTGTATGAACACAGTTTTGGGGTCATCTTTGGCAGAATTATCTCAAATCTAAAGAGGCATCTTCAGGTTTTTCAGTTAAAGTCTGCAGTCTTTAACATGAGGCGCTGCTGGGATTTGAACCCAGGACCTCCTGTTTACTAGACAGGCGCTTTCACCAACTATTATTATTTAATTATTTTAATTATTATTATTATTATACATACTGTAGACACGGAAAGGCCTCAGTGGGCATGCCGTAAAGGGAATGTGTTGCTGAGCACATGCCATAAAGTAAGTGTTGTGATTATGTGTCTGCAAAATATGTATTTAATTTTACTTCAGTACTTGAGTAAATGTTCTATTCAAGCATCTTTCACCACTATATTTATTTCAACAATAAAAGTATTCTGACTTCACATAATATGCCTGAGGTTGTATCTAACCATCAAGATACCAAAAGGTTAGCAAAACTATAAAAGGTTATGAATTATTTGTCCGTCATTCAGTTTCTTTCACTTTCAATAATAAGGTTTAAATGTTATCTAGATGATTAACAAGGAAAAGTAAAAAGACATCATGTGTATATATATTCATATCAAGGATTCAATACAGTACGCAGTAAAACGTCAGACAAAATAGTTTGAGGCAATACAAAAGTAAAGTTCTGGAAACATTACTGCCTTAGTGAAGATTTATAAATTCATTGTTCAAATTGTAGTTTTACCAAATTGTATCATATCTCATCCAACTCCAAACACAGTATTACTTTCAATGTTAGTTTAAAAAAGAAGATACATTTGATTTTACAACAGGATATGTTTAATTTTTGCAGTTTCACATTTTAAATCTTAAGGGGAAGCACTTCTCCCTGATGCGCTCAGGATGAACTGATCTCTCCCATAGAAATCCTTTGTGAGGCCTCCGCTCTGCAGTTGTTATCGACTTGACTGATGGTTTCCTGTCGTGAGAGGAGCAATAAGCAGGAAAATGAAACAATGCGTCTGTGGTCTCACCTGGAATCAGTAGGTAGTCTGCAGTTGTATGGTGCCGACCTCAGTGACCACAATAACATGGGGGGTTTGTTTTTTACAGTCGATGTGCCAGACTGCGACTAACATGAACCTTGTGATGTTCCTCTCTTTTTCTTCCTCAATTTGTCTCCCCCCCCCCCCCCCTCATGTGCCAATAGTCATACAGTATCATTTGATAGAGGTTGTTTTTAAAATGTTCTCAAACTTTACAGCCTTACCGAATATGAGTCGTACTATTGAATATAGGATTAATATGGGGTAAGGTCTTGAAGATAACATAACGAGCCGTAATTCTAACTTTAAATCTCCGCATTGATGATTTTCTCTGCCAGTCAGATTCATTTCAGATTAAGCAGTTTATGTTTGGACGTGTCATGAAACTCTGATTTTGTGACACAGAGCTTATCAGAGAGGAATAAAAGGTAGTCGGTCATCAGCCCATTTTATTGGCCTTAGCTTTAGACGTTCTCAGTTTTTGGTGGCAAAGGTCAGACAAGTAATAACTTCTGCTGTGTGCATTTAATTGGAAGTATCTTGTGAGGCTTTTTACAAAAAATATATGTATTTAAGATTCAGTTAGCCTCTTTTAGAAACTAAAATAATGTGCTTCAAAAGATGCCGCTGAAAATGGAAAGTGTTTGAGGCAGTGACACCTGTCTGTCTGCCACCCTGTCTGTGCTACAGCCGTTGTGAGGCGATAGTGGGAAACATTCACTAGTCTGAATGGGCATCCGTTAGAAACCACTGAGAAACTGCCAAGTCAATGCCAGACAAGGTTCAGCAGTTAAGTGTGGGCACAGACGATGCCACAGACAGTCAACAGGAGGACGTTTAGTCAGATCGAAAACATAGTGGATAGCACTGGCCACATTCTAGTGAATGTTACACCAGTGAAAGCACATCAATGCTTTCCCATGTATAGTAGATATGATTTGCTGATGTCATGACTTAGGCCTACTCACATTTTCGGTTGCGGTATTAAAACTATAGTTGGACCTCTTTCCCGCTTGTTTTTGTGCTGTGCTGAAAAGTAAAGCAATAAAGAAAACTGAAGCACGATTGAGAATTGTTCTCATTTTTTATTTTTGTTTTTTGAAAAATAATGATTTTCACAGCAGCAAGTAAAAAAATGAATTAATGAACAGTTTACAAACACTAATACAAAATAGTATTTACAAGAATATACAGTTTATACAGTGATTCCTGAAAAATATTGTTGTTACTGCCAGAATATTAATGTAATGAATGTAAACTCAAACACTTTTTCTTTTAAAGTTGAACAGGTTATAATTTCTCTGTTGGAAACAAATAATGCATGAGGATATAAGTAAAAAAACATCATGTTGAATAGGCTCAGTTCTCAGGTTTTAGGTTTTGGGAGAATAGGCTTTTATATGGAAAGGGCCGGGGTAGTTTCAGTGTCAGACATGATCGAGGGGCGTTTAGGTACCGCCTGTATCTTACTGAGCCCTTCTTTGCTCAGGCCGCCAGCACACATCTTTACCATCCTCAGGAGATCCTGTCTGAAGCGAACTCCAATGAAGACGTACAGGAATGGGTTCAGGCAGGCATGGGAAAACGCTAGGCTCTTGGCAATCTGTCCAGCTACATTAAAACGGATTAACATTTTACAATCAGTTATTGTTGTATTGGCTGCCTCCGTGGCCTCCATTATTAGCATACCATTGTGAGGTAGCTGAGAGAAAACAAACACAAACACCACAACAAAGATGACACGTAAGGCCTTGTGCTTCTCAAAGCTCTTGGCCTGCAGGAGTGTGCGAACGATGACAGAGTAACAAAATAACATAACTAGAAGAGGAAGGAAGAATCCCATGCAGATCTGCAGGGACAGAACCAGGATTTTTGTCTGGTTTTTTTCGTCTTCAGAGTAACGCAGATCACAAAAAGACTGCCCGTTTCGGTCGGTCTTCACCTGGGCGAAGATAAACTCAGGGAGGGCTAGGAGGATGGAAAGCAACCAGACAACCAGGCAGGCAAGTTTGCTGTAGAACAGCCTCTTTTTTTTCTTCAGGTTGTGGGCCTTGGTGACTTGCACAATTGCAATATACCGATCCACACTAATGCAGGTGAGCAGGAGCATGCTGCTGAAGAAGTTGATTTTGTAGACAGCTGCAACCATTTTGCAGAGGGGAACACCAAAGTCCCAGCCCTTAATGGCATCGACAGCCCAGAAAGGCAGCGTGCACAGGAAGAGGAGGTCAGCCACAGCCAGGTTCAGCAGGTACACGTCGGTCATTGTTTTCAGGCGGTTGCGCACAGTGGTGTAGATCCAAACCACCACCAGATTACCCACGGCACCAAGAATGAAGATCATCCAGAAGAGAGGTGGCTCGGACTGCCCACGAAACTCCCTGACCCAGCTTCTGTCACAAAAGCCTGGGTTGTCAGTCGGATCTGAACCATAGTCATCCTCTAAAGTTTCCTGCAATCAAAAACAGAAACAATGATTATCTAATGCAATATGAAAGAGGACTTAGTGCAACAGATACAATGTCTTTTTCATTTCCTGTCAGGCATTTATTTTCTCGTTGTCCTTGTAACCCAACTCTCAAGCTGCTCAGGGTTTCACAACATAGTGGGGATACAGTGATGGGACATCAAACGCTGTCGATGACGTACATGCTAACCAGAGCGTGCGATACAACTTCTGTCAGGTGCAGGTGTTGTGTCTGTGCAGAAGAAACCACACCACTGCACAATTTCCTGCTGCTAACCAAGCCTGGGTAAGGTGAATGATCCTGAGGGGCTCTAGAAAGGAGGGCCTACAGTACCCCAAAAGCTTCAAGTTTAGATTTAGGGCAGAGATAAAACAGTGTTGTGAAGCCGAGGCTAGGCTTAGGTTTCCAGAGACAATGGAAAAATGTATGCTGATACAGCTGTGAATGTGGCATTTGCTTATCCCTCAGTCTGCTTTAGTTAAATCTACCGCAAAGATGCAAAGGCTTAACTGACATATGCACAGTACAGTGTAGATATGGCAATGCGAATATTAAGTCACAGGCTCCTCCAACACAAATATATATATTAAATAAAAACTGGAGCATGATCTGTAAAAACATTCAAATAAAATGATTATCAAGAATGCTAAATATTATATGAATTAATAGCATTGACATGGATTTGTTCTTACAGCAACCTGAGTTTAATTTTTAACAGTATTTAAAATCTACTTGAATATAATTTAAAATCGTACTTTAAACACAAACTTTGATACACACATGCAATAAAACACAGATGTGTTCCTATATGTGATGCTAAGTATAGTCCGCACCAACACTGTCACCTTCTTCAATCTACTCAGGCATACAGACATGGACATTTTCTATACAACATGGCATGCCATACAAATAACAGCAAATGAATACTTACAGTTTCAGCATAATCAGTTCCTGTGGGCGTATTTGATGTAAATAGCTCATCCATGTTATCTACAGAAAACAAGACAACACACACCTTAACCTTTCAACTGTAAAAAATATCAAAATAAATCAACATATTGAGAAAAGTAACCCTTAAGTTTATAGATGCATGTTAACAGTACAACAAATCACTTACCCACTCAGTGATGAGATGTGGAGAACAAACTCTGCTGTTTCTTTGTCTGGGTAGTACGAATGGTAACCTTTCCAGCCAGACTCATCGTCACCTGCTTATATGGTTTCCCTTCAACCACAGGATCACGTGCTGATGCAGCCATCCATCCCCTACTCAGTCTGCAGAGAAGCACATGACCATTGGTGATGTATATTTCATTACCCCATGACAGTAAATATCAAATTGAAAAGGAACTTGTATGATCTATGAACAGTGACAGTGTGACAGTTTCACAGGGAAGTTGGGACTTTTACACTAAACCCACTTTAACACAGCCATCAGACGAGAACCAAAACTATGCACCCACAGTCCTTCCACGCCCGATTAACTTTATCATGTTGTTGCCAGTTAAAAACACAGGTGGAGCACTTAACACTACAGATGAGTGATTCATGAAACTGAAAACCAAGAGGTGTGAGGAGAAGATCAAAACTGGAGAAGGTAGCATGTTGAGACGTACTGTAAGCCCCATTGTGTTATAGCAATCCAGCCGTCTAAAGCTCAGCACTGTGTCCACGCAAGCCTCATATTTCGTTTTTAAATGGTCTTAACAAGTGTCAACATATAAGGAAAGTCATTTTTAAAGGTTTTGACTTTCACAGAGTTTCTCTTTCAAGTCAGTGGTGAGGAAATATGCCCGAAAAACAGGTCATTTTCATCATGAATTATATTTCACTTTATAAACTTCGATTAAAGGTCATATTCTAAGCTAAGCTAACAAGCCACTTGCTGAGCTTTCTTTCATACAAATATGAGAGTGGAACCCATCTTCTTCAGTAACAAAAAGAAATGTCCATATTTCTCCTAAAAAAAATGTTATCCAAGTGAAATTATCGCTGGTTCATGAAGTAGCAAACGCACCATACTATATAAACCACAACCTATTATTCCAGTGTCAATTCCTTCCAAGTTAAAAAGCATTTATGTGACATGTCCTATAAGAAAAAAGTGCTTTCTATGAAAAAAGCACCTCAAAGTTTAATGGTGTTGCCTAAGAGTAAAGGGAATTGAATAACGTGACAAATAGTCACACAGCTGACAAACATGTCAAAGAACAGTCCCTGTCATATACCAATTGTGTGACCTGGGAACAAATCAAAGCTTAAAGTGAAAACAAGCAAACTCACTTTGAAACCAAGACTAGGATTTAAATAAAGTGAGAACTAAGTCTGATTTACAAAGCCAACAATAAGACACAACTATTATCTTGGTCAAAGGAAGTGCTTATATTAGTTCTGGTTGTGTTTCCTGTGAGTGGGTTTCATACTTTTATGGGGCAGTGTTGTGGGGTGCTAATTTCACAGTTTCACTTCCTGAACAGATCTCTCTCCTTGCATGTTGTGAACTACCAATGCAGAGCGTTTCAGCTTTTCAGATTTCTACCAAATGCTTGTTGTTTTTCTCGTTATTGATCACAGTATAGCAGACGGAAACAACTGTGTCAGGGTTGTCAGATGAGTGTTTCCTTCTGGGAACAAGATGTTCAAGAGAGTGGTAGAATGAGAGGTTTCACTCAATTCAGTAACTGCATAAGTGATGTGTAAGAATATAAACCACAGTGTGTGAGATTCAGTAGCAAGTCAAACTTTATTCCCTTGCAGACAAAAATAGTAGACAATGCTGCATCAGGTCCCAAGTTAAAGATAATAGCTCCACGATTAGGCCTTTAATCTTTGAAGAGAGGCAGTGCTTTTTTAATCTTTGAAGAGAGACAGTGTTTTTTTGAACTAGTGGTTTTAAGTAAAACTGCTAAATGACCTCGGTATTACTCCACAAAACAGAATGACAAAAGCACTTATGATCTTGAAGTCATGTGTGTCCTCATGATCCGCTACAGAGAGTTTCAATGGCACATCCTGAAACAAAAAGAACTGCCAGTGAAAAAGGGGTTGTCTGCAACTGCATTATACACTTCGTTTAATGTAATATAACTTTTAATTAAAAATGTGCCCTGTTTTTCAAATATATGACCATTTCAGTTCTATTGGATTTTCCTTCATGCTAAGACTGACATGATATGCTCCGTACTGGCATGGGCCTGTTATTCTGTCACAACCCGAACGCTTATAGCCTAATGGTCAGGTAAAGCTGAGGAGATGCTACATTGGCAATATTTATAACAACACTGATCCGTTATGCCCTAGATTTGGAGGCTAGCCAGCAGACCTAAAGCAGCCTGCGTCTTCTGGCTTTTAGTTTAGACGTCTGAAATCCAAATTGACCTACAGTATGACCCTTTCTTTGGTTTAACACCAGAGGATTCCCGTGCTCTCTCATCAAAAAAGCCCCTGTAGTCACAGCTTTCACTTCAAAACTGTCTATAACTCTATTATGGTGCTCCTTGACAAAGAGTACAAAGCTTTGGCAATACTGTATGTCATTATGGTCATGCTAATAAAGTTAATTGAATTGAGGGTGAACCCATATGTCCTATTATGCTCTCCTCTTCTTTCTGTTTAAGTTATTGATACCAAGTCCACTATATAACGTAAAGTTTCTCCTAACATTAGCTAACATCAGCCACCAAATGGGGACATTTTATTGATAACAAACTCAAAAGTGTATTTTTATGGGAAATAACGTGTTTTTCAGAAATTAGATGATAAACAAATGTCGTTCTGTATACTGTATAGTCTCTCTCTGCTCTCTTGAACCGTGTGATACTGATATTAAGGGAACTTTTATAACTCAGGATGATAGTAGCTTTAGCCACACAATATGCATTTGTAATGAAAGATTAAAGCTAAAAAAAATCCACCATCACTGTTTTTAAACACCGTACAGCCTTTTGGACATCACCTGAAATTAAGAAATGAGTGTTATTGTTGCAAGCAAAAAGTCTGCTTGGTGATTGAAAGGCATTTTGTAGTGTGAGTGAAACTGAGAAAACCCCTATGATGCCTTTTCAGAAAGTCAGTAGTCAGGTAGTGAGTGTGAATGTGTATCACTCTCACATGTATTAACAGTCACCCCATATTGTGGGAAAGTACTGTCACTGTCACTGCTGTCAGCATTGCGAGAGATTGAGTTTGGTACCGAGAGGCTCTCCTCACCACTTCCTGTATACCTGCTCGCTGTGATTTATTTCTTGCACTGATAGGATGCAAATGCTGAACAGTTGTCTATCTGAAAATATCAGCAGTTATCCCATGACAGTTTCTCTTTCTAATAGAAAAAACAGATGCATGCACACCTGCAAATGTACAAGCAAACAAATGCAACACAATAATCTTCCCCCGTGATCTTTATTTTGATACAGCAACAAACAGGCGGGTAAGAAATGTATCTGTTTCGACAGCAGAACAAAAAGGATCTTAAAGAATATTGTTTTTCTCATTAGTGCCCTTTGCCCCCGCCCCTTTGTTTTGCACCTTTACTGTAGATGAACCATGCATACATCTCCTGCACATGATGTAAAAAAAACAACCCAAGTTTAAGTCAGGACAGACTGTGGCTTGAAGAGTTTCAATGAAAACAACAAGGTGGTTGATGATTGGCTGGCTGTTTACCATTTGTATTACTCTGCCACAATCTCAATCTGCTCTAGTTAAAACAGCCAAGGCCAAAATCTTTCTATACACACTTTAACAAGCAGAAGGAACACATGAAGTGACTGTATGTGTTGAATTTGAAACAAATTGTCACTGTACTTGATACAATGACATCCTAATTTAGAGTTTGAAGTTAACAAACCGCTTGAGGATGCATTTCAAAATCATTTGTTCCTTTCTGATTTCCTGATGTTCAATCCGTCCAAACTTAACTAAATTGATCATTCTCAGCATGAAGTCAAACACCACCACTTAAGATACCATCATTATATCTCTGCTTACTGAAGTGAATGCATGCAGCCTTACCTTATAAGCTTTCTACTTTTACACAACTGAATTTAATCTTAGTGTGTCTAAAGTTTTACTGGACTGTTAGTGTAGTTTTATTATTATTGTGCTGCTGTGTTTATTGTATTTTTGTCTTTCATGGATTATTATAATCAATGTATTATTGCAATCTGGCGCCCCCTTGTTGAATCAGTAAGTTACAGAGACAGTAAATGTAATAACCCTTAAATGTATCATCATTCATTCATTAATATTGTTAATCATTGTCACAGCTTAATTTTTAAATAAGGCTAAACTTCAGAGAATCCATTTCATTATTGTTATTCACTGGATGTTTATATGATAAAATACACTGTGAACCTAAAGGGTAAAAGACCAGAGGATGATCGCTCTAAAAATGACAACACGTTTATTTGTTAACAGCTTTTATTACCCCATACTTTGCACAATACACACAAATGCACATCTAGTGTAGTTTTGGGGAGATGTATTATACTCTACAAGAGCATTACTTCATGAACATCATGTAAATATTCATTATTTTTCTCTTACATTCCATCACCCACAGCAATACGAAAAGTACACAGCTAAAGAGACAAAAATATTCTATGGCCTTTGTGCAGGGAAGTAGGGTAAATCATTCTAGATCACTATCCACATCATTCAATATGCAAACAGCAGAACAAATAAATGCAGGACATTTTGGTTTATTCTCGATAATCAGACTTTTCACAGAATGTCAGATCATTGAAAATACTTTTGAGTGAAATGCAATGAAAGTCTTAGGTAACAAATTAAAGCAGGGGTGACCAAGTGGGGCATGTGACATTACTTTGAAGGTGGTCACTATCAATAAACAAACTGGCTTGGGTTTAGCCGAACACTGATTTCACTGAACTACAAATTGGGCTGCTATAATTAAACCTAATCAGCAAATATTGATCAATTACCCTGTATCTGAAAGATAAGACTGCAACGCTTCAGGCAGACAGTGAGCAACTGTCAAATTCAGCAAATGGACAAGGCCTCTTCAAACAGGGACGTGGTAGAAATTGCATAGAGCGCTGAGGGAAGTCTGCTAGCAACTGTAAGTGAGCTCCAAAAACTGAGATGTAGAAAAAAAGCACAGCTGAAGAAGGCTATCATTTATCAGGACCTTATTGGTGTGAGAAGTTGTACTGCCAACCTTCCTGCTCACACTATTCACTAAAGCCAATAACTACTGAAGATGCCAGATTAAGCATGGATAGAGCAATTCCTCGTGG